GGCCACCGCCCTGGTCCGCGGAGTGTCCTCACTGGCTGTGGCCTTCGGGGAACAGGGGAACAGATGCCGGGGTGGGGGTGGGGGTTGGGTGGAGCCATTTGCGTCCTGATGGCTCCAGCGGGGTCTCCTCCGCGAAGGAGTGCGCGCCACTCACACCGCTCACGCAGCCGAGGTCGTGGACGCGTCCCGGCCCTGCCCTGCTTTGCGGACCGCGGGGACCCTGTGGGCGAGACTCGGCTCGCACTCTTCGTGGGCAGAGGCTGTGTTCCATGTCACCTAGGGAGGAACTCTTGAGGGCAACGTTCCCAGGTCGCGGCTCACACCCTGCTCCATCCCTCCGGCCGCCGCCTCCTGGCCTAGGGCGCCGGATTCTGATCTGTGCGCAGGTGTCCGCGGGTGTCCACAGGAACACGTGGGGCTTGCACCCGGAATTGCGCTAAGTGCGCAGAGACTCGCCTCAGGCCAAGGCTTCTCTTCGGCTCGCGACACCTGCGGCTTCGCAGCCGCCCCTCCCCCCATCCCGTAGGGCAGGCGAGGCTTCCAGGGCACCCACCCCTTGCTCAGGTCCTCGGTTGCAGAACCCCACAGGCAGGACGAGTTTTGAGTGGCCCCCGGCAGCGGGCACCTGCCATGCGCTGCCTTCTGGTGCTCAGGGGTCCCGTTATCTGCCTCCGAACCGATGACCCCGGCTAGGGTGACGGTCGCGTCAGTGCCCTCGATGTAACCGCACTCGAGCCGGACTGGCGCAGACCGGGTCTCCGGCCACACAGGGTCTGCGCCTTACCTGGCACGACTTCCACACACCTTCATTTATTGCTCAGCCACTGTTTGCGAGGCATTAGGGCGGTGGTCACCAGTACGAATCACACACAGGGGTCGGTCTGGCGGGGCAGAAAGAGCCGGCACCGCGGAGCGGCATGCGAGCAAGCACGCCTTACTCGTTGGTTCCGGGAAGATGGGGCGGGGAGCGTCCTCAGGGAGCAGACCCTGGGCTGGGCGCGCGCAGATAACGAGACGGACGCAAGTGGGTCTCGATTCTCAGAACAGAAGGTCGGGCGCGGGGTCAGGGTCCAGTGGAGGTGCTGGCGGGGCCTGGCGGGGCCTGGCGGGGGGCGCTCTCAGGAGAAGGGGACCCGGCGTCTGGAGTGGGCGAGAGGACAAGGCGCGCCGGGGTCGGGGTGGGGGCGGGGAGGGGAGTGATTAGCAAGGTCAGTTAAGTCAGCGTGGACGCCTGTGGTCGTTCCGTCGTGCCTAGGGCGGGCTGCGGCTGGGCCCGGGGTCCCGCCTGCCGCGCGGTCCTCTCAACGCGCGTCCCAGGAGCAGAGGCGCGCGCGCGATGAACCCGCCGGGGCGTGCCATCTGTGCGCTCGCCCTGCAGAGGAAGCGTGAAATTCGTTTTCCCCTGATCTGAGCAGCGCTCCAGCGGGGGGTGGGGTCGGGGGGGTGGGGTGGAAGGTGGGGTTCGTTGCAGGCGGGTTGCCCGATTTAGCCCAAAAAACAAGGAAAAACGAATGTTTATTTATACACCGTGTATAAAATATATGCATATACACTATTATATGCTTACGTACAAACGCATGTTTATATGTAAGTATATTTACACATAAACGTATTTACCTGAAAGCTTAAGTACATACGTAAATGTATTTACCTGTAAGCTTAAATACATATGTAAATGTAAATACACACAGACACACAGGACGCCCAGTTAAATTTGAATTTCGGATAAGCGGGTAATTTTTGAGTATAAGTATGTCCGTGCCGTATTCGGGAACATATTTATATTGAAAAACGATTCGTCGTTTATATGAAATTCCAATTTAAGTGCGTGTCCTGCATTTTATCGGGCAACTCTGGCGGGAGGGGCCTCCAGACCACGCACCCTCGGCACACCGCGAGAATCCCGGGTGGGAAGAAGCGCGGCGTCCGCTCCGACGCGAACTACAAGCCCCACAATGCCGCGCGAGGCGCCGGGGGCGCTGATAGGCTGAGGCGCGCTCCCGCCTTCCGTCACTTCCGGACGCGGGGCTGGCGGTTGCGGCGGCCGCCCACGGGGTCTCGGGTGCGGGGTGGGGTGCAGGGTTCCCGGCGCGCGGTCCGGCGCGACCCGCGGCGGCAGCCATGAACTTCTCCGAGGTGTTCAAGCTCTCCAGCCAGCTCTGCAAGTTCTCCCCCGACGGCAAGTACCTGGTGAGCGGCCGCGGGGCCTGGGCCGCGGGAGGCGCGTGTCAGCCCCGAATGGCGGGGACCCGGGAATCGGGGGGCCGGGCGGCCGCGGGCACGGCCCGCAGTGGAAGAGCTCGGGCGTCCGAAGGAGCGGGACCTGGGCAGGCGCTAGGGCTTCCGGGCAGGTGACCTGGGCACAGGACCTGGGTAGGGGACCCGGCAGGTGCAGCAGACAGGTGACTTGAGCGCAGGCTGCGGGCAGGTGCCAGCCTCCCTGCACCTGGGTTTCCGTCTGTTGAAAGCAGATAAAAGCGGTGCTGTCTTTACCCATTTGAGGACACAGGAGACATCAGCTCGTTATTTTGTCACGAAAAGGCAAATTTGTACTCCCGTTGGCTGTAAACGAGGGCAGCGGTGCAGCTAGTTTTTGTCATCTTTTCCAGCCCTAGTCTTAGATCTCAACCACGTGCCAAATAAACGCTTTAAATAACCAGATGAAGAGAATTGCCTGCCCTGCGGCGACTTCAGCCGGTGATTCCACCGGCGGCAGAATGATGCTACAGTCACTGCGCTACCTCGTACACGAAACTTCTGTTTTGAAATATACCATTATGACCAGTGCATATCCTCAGAGTCGTGGGGTGGGAGTGGGGAGTCAAGTGGTGGGGAGGAGAGAACTGGCATTGGAAAGCTATTAAGAAAAAAATCACACTTTTTATAAAAAGTGTGCTTAGTTTCCTTTATCCTCTATTAACTGACTGATGCTTCGTGGTTCCCTTCCAGTTTGAGCCATTAATATTCTTTTTATTCTTATCTATGTCTTTGAAAATAACACTCCCAAGTTACATGTTTGCCTTCCTTATGGGGGTATTATTCGAAATCGCATATCCTTCAGCTACAAAATACGAAACAGGTTTAGTTTAAATGGCACCTCCCAAAACCTTGGTACATTTTTCAAAGTGCCCCTCATAAATTCATTTTTTAAATATTTACGAAAATTCCAGTGAAGTATGAAGAGAAAGAGTCTATTCTCTTGCTTAACTTTGGTACTTTTTTGGTTTTTACACCCTGGTCAAAATATTGTGAGACGCTTGACGATCGAGGTACTAGAATTGTGTTTTTTTAAAGCTATATCTTAAATACCGAAGGAGGTGGGTCCATCTTGCCATTTTTAATATATTACAACAGATTTCAGATGTTTTTTCTAAGCGTTGGTACACATATTCCATCTCATGGGGAATTCATTGTAACTGATCACGGTGCAAAGCCACAATGTGAAAAGAAACATCGCGACATGTTCTCATCTGGTTGCCCGCCCTCTCTCCTTTTGCAAGGAAAACTCATCGTGGCTTTTTTAAAATGGAAGTTCGTAAAACGCAAACTAATGATCTAGTTTGACCTTGATAAGTACAAAAATGAAGTAATTTAAAATCTCAAAATTGGTTCTTGGTTTTTAAACTGTATCTATAACTGGCAGATAAGTATACTCAGACACAGATACTGTTTGCTTAGATAGGGTTGTAAACAAACATGGCCGTGGAGAAACTGTTGTTCGGAAAGCATTTTCATAGTCAGTGAATGTGAGTGTGTGAGGAGAAGCAGCCCTCCCTCCTGTGGACTTCCTTTCTGTGCTGTCGTGCGATCCATCACCCACACTCACAACACTGCTGCTCGCCAAGTGTGTGGGTTTTCCCCCCACCAAGCAGTTCTTTAAAGGGTACCGGGTGGGTGTCCTGAGGGTTAGTGTCAGACCCCACAGGCTGAGGGCTCAGCCCCAGAAGACTGCCCCCGCTTCAGATGCCAGTCGCAGGTAGGCGGTCCCCAGGTTACTCACAGCCTCTGTCTGATGTGGCTGCAGACATGAGGTTCCCAGGAGCCCCACCTCAGGTTCAGTCATTTGCTACGGTGGCTCACAGAACTCAGGGAAGCACTCACTTAAGGGTCCCCAGGTTATTAAAGAGCATGGTAAAGGACCCGGATGAGCAGCCAGGTGAGGAGGTGCATGGGGCCAGGTCTGGGAGGGGCCAGGTCTGGGAGGGGCCCGAGTGCATTGGGGAGCCTTGCCCTCCCCGTGCGCATGTGTTCACCCCCAGAGGCTCCTGAGCCCTGCCCTAATGGGACGTTCAGAACACCTCACATAGGCACGACTGGTCATTAACCCCTTTTTCAGCCCTTCTCCCTTCTCAAAGAATGAGGCTGGCCTGAAAATTCCAAGCTTCTAATGGCTCGGTTTTCCTGGTGACCAGCCTCTGTCTAAGGAGCCCACCCGGAGTCCCCTCATTAGAACAGAAGATGCTCCTCTCACCCAGGAAATTACAAGGTTTTCAGGAGCCCTGGGTCTGGGTCTGGGTCTGGGGGCAGAGACCAGAACATATTGTCTCTTATCTCACAGTAGATGAATGCGCATCTGTGACGTGTCCGTACATTTACAGAATTTAAGTGTACGAAAGGGGACCGCCATTTCTGTAGTCATTTCTGCCACCTCCTTGTAAATTGCCTACGAGTGATGAGCCCAGGAGAGGGTTTGGCTCGTGTGCAGAAGCGCTTGTTCCCAATGCTGTTCGTCCTTGCGTTTACTTTTTAACACATCGTTAAGAAAGGAGTAGAAAATGACTCAAGTAAAGTTTGAGGATGATACTTGATACTGGGCTGTACCAGGTTTAACACCTAGTTTGCCACTTCAGGTTTCTCTGTGTATTAACTCGTTTCGTTTTCAGAGCGGGCGCTGTAAACGCATGGAACCGTGGAGACAGCACGTCGGGGAGGAGAGGCAGTCGGTGGCGTGGCGTGGCCACCTCCCCGCGAGCACAGACTCAGGGCCGGCTTTTCCGTTGGCAGGCTTCCTGCGTCCAGTACCGGCTGGTGGTCCGGGATGTGAACAGCCTTCAGATCCTTCACGTGTACACGTGCCTGGACCAGATCCAGCACGTCGAGTGGTCGGCCGACTCCCTCTTCATCCTGTGCGCCATGTATAAGCGGGGGCTGGTGCAGGTAGGTGCCCGCGTGCGCGGCCAGGAGCCAGGCCGCCTCCCGGTCGGGCGCCTTCGTTCGCTGCCCTTCTGGTCTGGGGCAGAGGCGGTGCGGTCAGACCCAGCTTCCTGTAGCATCGTGATGTTTTTCTCGCAGTGTAAGTGCGTTCAGAGTGAGAACATGCTTCAATGCTCTTAATCCGTCACCCGGTACGATTCGGTAACGAGGGTCACAGACCTCGGTGTAGTGGCGGCTTGGACAGCCTGCGTGTGGGGAGCGCTGACGTGTGTCCGGCTTCAGGCCTGGAGCTTGACTCACTGGAGCTTTAGGGGTGGCAGAGGGGATGAACCTTTTAAAAACTACAGCACGGTGAAATCCGCGGGAAGACCGGCTGGCTCCGGCTCGTGCTGGCGCCGCTCGGTCGTGGCGCAGGGTCCGTGAAGCACTCCCGTGTTTTGGCGCCGCAGTCGGTACCCAGTTGTCCTTAACCTCGATCACTGCACCGACTGGTTTGCGATCCGGGTTTCTCTCTGCGGGAATCTAGGTGTGGTCTCTGGAACAGCCCGGATGGCACTGCAGAGTGGACGAGGGATGCGCAGGGCTGGTGGCTTCTTGCTGGAGCCCAGACGGACGCCACGTTCTCAACACCACCGAGTTCCACGTAAGTCGACGCTCCGTCCATCGAGGGGTGACCGCTGCCCTCCCGACTCCCGAGCTGGGTCGGGAGCGTCAGAGTGGGTGCTTCCTGCAGACGGTTCATACCACGCCCAGCAGGCCTGCGGCGGCGTCGCATGTGGTTTTAATGTTCATTTCTCTAGTTGGCGAGGCGGAGCGCTTCCATGTCTTGTTTTACACACACACACGCGTGCGCACACCTGTTCGCACACGATTTACATATGTGGTGTAGGTCACGTGCATTTACAATGGTATTTTTTCTTTTATGATCTGAGCATTTGGTGTCTAAAGATAATCCCCTTCCAACCCAAGATCACAAAGGATTTTGTCGACTGAAAAATAATATTGACTAGGTGTTTGGTCACCAAAAAGGATTTGTTCAGGAAACAAAAGGTTGCCCCCCGGGCGTGTAGACTGGCAAGCCCCGTGCCAGGCGGAGGGGCGTTTGTACGGGGTGGGGGGAGGCAGCGATGGAAGGGGAGGCCAGAAGCACAGGGCCTCGTGGTGACGGAGTTCCCGCGGGCGTCCCCAGCCCCAGCTCCTGTGTTCTCCTGGAAGCTCGTGGTTTTGGCACCCAAGTTCACAGGTGTCATCAGCAGTGAATTCACCTCCTTCCTGCACTTGGCACCTTGTAGGAGCTCAGGTGCTGCCTGCGAGGGTCTGTTTCCAGCTCCGTCCCGTCCCGTGGAGCTCTGCGTCTATCTTCGTGGTGGCAGCAGGCTCTCCCGACGGCCGCAGCTTTGTAGCCGGTCTGGGATCCAGACGCGCGTGAGAGTTCCTGTTCCGGCCTGTCTCTGAGTCATTTCGGCTGTTCTAGGTCCTTTCGTTTCCGTATCAACTTTAGAATGAATTTGTCAATTTCTTTAAAAGAAATTCCCGCTCGGGTTTTTTAACAGATCGCACCGAAGTTATAGTTTTTCTCTGCGTCAACATTTTCATCGTACAGATCTCGCACATATTTTATAAAATTTAATCTCGAGTTTTAAGTTTTGCCGTTCGGCTCTTGACCATCTGCAGTGGAGCTGGGGACGGTGCCGGGGACCAGCCGCGTTGGCTCTGGCGCGCTCACTCAGGTGCGTGTGAGCGTGCGGGTGTCTGCTCACAGCAGCGCGGGAGGCCGCACGTTTCTCCCACCGATGAAGCACCCAGCGGAGCCGCCCTCAGTTTGCTGTACTCGCTACGTTACTGTTGCAAACAACCTCTGAGACGGAAAAGGTCATTTGAAGTATTTTTGCGTAAGTTCTGGAATTTTCCACTGCGCCCGCAGCGATGGTAATAAGGACATATTTACTGTTTATGTCAAGAAAGCTTGAAAGTGTGGAAGAGGAGCTGGGAAAATTCTCTCTCTCGGAAGCGAGTGCCCTGGATTAAGTGGAAGCGCGGAAGTGACGTCCGACCCAGGAAGGGTGCGCGAGGTCCTCAGAGGTCCCCGGGGAAGACGGGCTCCTGAGGGCACAGAGCTGAGGGCCTGGGCGGGAGGCCCCTCCGTCGCCCCCTCCTCAGGGACGCGGCACCTGCTTGCACGTCACCTGCGTTGTCGCGGCTCCCTTTGAACCAAGGATGGGGGGGAGGCCCCAGGGGTACCTGAGGCTTCCGAGTCACACCTGCGGGGTCGCTGCTCCCGCTGCGCTGCTGAGGTCGGTGGAGAGTGTGGAGGCGCAATGTACCTGCCTCTTTTCTTAGTGGATTTGTTAAGTTACAAACTTGTGTTTTCTTAAAACTTTTTTCAGTGGGGGATGGAGGGTAAAAATCAAACTTAACGGGCACGCGTCTTTCCTGCCGTTAAAAAATGTGCATCCGCCGGGTCGTGCCCCTCAGCCGGGTCGTGCCCCTCAGCCGGGTCTGCTGAAGTGACACGCGGCAGTGAGTGCGTTCCCAGGAAACCCCGTGGCGGGTGTGCAGGCTTCCTGCCTGCTCTCCTCTCCCCGCTGCACCAGCAGGACAGCCCCGGAGGCAGGTAGCAGAAACCAGGAAGCTCAGAAGGCCACCTGCTGATGGGTGTCACAGGTAGACCTCAGTGCCAGGTGTGCTGGCCGGGAGTCGTCCCCTCACCTCAGGAACACCTGACGCCCTCCTCGGCCTCTGCTGTGCTCTTGGCAGGGAGCCCCAATCCTGGGCGGGGCTGTCACCACCTGGGAAGGCAGATGCTGAGTGTGGCACCCGTGTCTGCCGGGCGCACCTGCCACCGCGGGCACAGCTGCCGCGCAGGCGCACCTGCCACCGCGGCGGCTCGTCTTTTGCATCTAGCAGTGGGTCCCCAGCCTCCCGATGCCATGCGGGCTGTTCAGAGAGGCAGCACGGATGTCAGGCTTTCTTTAGTAGACGAGGTGCTGTGGAGAAAAGTGTGCCTTTTTTTAATGTCCTAAACTAGGACAGAGGCGTAGTTCGCAGGCGTCACCCTGGTACAGAGCGCAGTGCCCCACAGGTCACTTCTGATGAAGCCCCATTTGTTCAGAGCGGCACCCCTCGGCCCATGTGCCGTAGCTTTCAACGGGGCCGATAAAGTGGCTTTGTCAGCATCCACCGTGTCACCGCCGTGGCTGGAGGCGGTGGCTCCCGGGAGCGGCGGTGGCTCCCGGGAGCGGCTGTGCGCCTGGTGGAGCAGGGTCAGGACTGGGAGGGAGTTAGCGTCGGTGCCAGCAGACGCAAGGGTACGGACAGCGTCTGCAGAAACGGAAGTTCGGAAATTCTGGTCAAGGGCGCTTGCTTGCTTTAGGCGCCACAGGGGGCGCGGGGTCGGCTGATAGGAGCTCACGTTAAGTGCGGACGCAGCGGGCGTTTGGGTGACAGGCTGACAGGTTAGCGCACAGAGGCTCCCGTCCCCGTTCCCAGTGCATCTTCTAAGCGCAGGTGTCGTCCCCACCCCGACTGGCGCTTGGTGCCTCGCAGGACACTCTCCCGGCCTTTCTGTACTTGCCTGCTGAGGGAGGGCAGAGTGTGGTCCCGTGGGGGTTACTCCGAACCCCTCTGCCGGCACAGCGGGGTCAGGCCTCCTGGTAGTGGTTTCAGGATTCTCTGTCTTGCCTGGGCTGGGCCACCACTCCCAGCTGTCCCCTGAGACGTAGGAGCAGCCAGCTGGACTCCGGAACAAGGAGCCCAACCACCCCCCTCCCTCCCAATGGCTTTCCCGCGTAAAGACGTTTCTCAGACTGAATAAGCATCTTACGTTTATCATAGTGTGAAAACTGGGTTTACTTTGAACTTGTGAACTAAAGTGGATTTGTGCTCCACTTTGTGTCCCTCAAATAACATCGCTACAACATGAAAACCACACGGAGAGCACCGGATGTCCTGTGACGACAGTGAGCGTGCGGTCGACACCCCTCTTCCGAGGGAGAGCCCCCGGAACCGCTAATGTCACTCGCTGCCTCTGCGGTCAGCCCCCCACCCGGGGACCGACGAGCCGGTCACGGTGGGGGACGGTGTCTCTGGCTGCTGACCGTGCCGTTCCCTGCTCTCCCCACAGCTGCGGATCACCGTCTGGTCCTTGTGCACGAAGTCCGTGTCCTACATCAAATACCCGAAAGCCTGCCAGCGCGGTGAGTGGGCCCCGCCCCGGGAGCCGGGCTCTGTCGCCCGCACGGGCAGTTGCAGACAGGCTGGCGTAGCCACAGCAGCGCGCCGCACGCAGCCGGCCCTCCCCTTCTGTGCCCCGTCCCCCGTTATTGTGCCTCCTGTCTCGGGCTTCCGACACCCCACTGTGATACTTCCACGTGTCTCTAGAAGACAAGGGTCCCCCCGGTAAAACCAAGTCATGGTGACTGACGGGCGTCGCTTAAGGACGTCAAGGGCGAAGGGATTTGCCCGTAGTTCCCGCGACCTCGGTGCCGGGAGTGGGTCCTCAGGGCCCCCGTCGTGTCTGTCACGGGACCCACCTCACGCCCTCAGTTCTGAACTTAAATCTCTAAACCTTCCGTCGAGTGGATCTGTGTTCTCTGTGGAGGGGGATGGTGACCTGTCCCATCCGGACATCCCAGGGGAGGGGTGAGAGGCAGGCGTCCTCTGAGCGGTCGGGGAGAGGCGGGCAGCTCAGACGCAGCCCGCCACTGTGGTTTACCAGGACCCCGAGAGCTGGTTGGGTGCCCCCCTCTCAAATCAGGAAATTCGCTGGCGCGCCCGTCATTTCATAGGCCGGGGCCTGCGCGAGCGAGCGCCTCCGCATTTCTGCCTTCAGCGGTTCGGAAGTCGCACTGGAGCGAGATGCGGCTGTGCGTGTACGATGCCTTTTTACGGCTCGGATGTCAGCGTCTCTCCAGATGGCGTGCACGTTTCCCCAGTGGGGACGACAGGTGTTCCTTTGACCCATGGAGCCGACACAGAACCGGAAAACATAGCTTCATATCTCAGCCCAAGTCGATTTCCAAATTTGTAAATTCACTGCTTCCAAATGATTAAATTCAAAGCTGAATGTAAGAAATGTAGTCGCGAGCTGACGTCCAGCCAGCTGAGTCTCCCATCGTTGATTTTCTAAAACCGGGACCGTCCACTTGATGCTGCAGTTCTCAGCTGTAGCTTGTGGCTGTCGGGGCAGGCCCTTCGTGTCGGTCACGTTCTTGGCAGGTCCGTCCTCCGTGTGGGTGCCCGGGAGCCCCGGCCGCGGCCGCTTCTTGTGGATGAAGCGCGCTGTCGGCGTGGGCCGCGCCCCTTCTGACCTCTGCTTTCTGCCGTTCTTCCCCGGAAAGCCCCACTGCGGCTCCCGCTGCTGCTCCTTGACTCCGGGCTGGCTCCTCTCCCGGCAGGAATCAGCTTTTCCAGAGACGGCCGCTACCTGGCCTTGGCCGAGAGGCGGGACTGCAGGGACTTCGTGAGCATCTTCGTGTGCAGTGACTGGCAGCTGCTGCGGGTGAGGCTGCCGTGGCCGGGTCAGCTGCCTGCGGGCGCAGCGCGCGTTCCTCACGCCCCCTGGGGCCCTTGGGTCGCGTGGAGAAGCGTGATTTCGCGTCTCCAGCGGGCGGGGTGCTGCGGTTAGGCGTTTGTGGAGCGGGCTGGGGGGCGTGTGTTCGGGGTGTGTTGAAAGTTCACGTGCCGTCAAACGTGATCCTTTTTCTTATTCCTTGAATGGCATTTGCATGTGTGTTGCTTTATCAGAAAGAGGAGTGACCTTGAACTTAGTACTGGGGAGTGTCTGGTCTGGTCAGGACTTCCCAAGGGTCCTGGGGTTCGGGGCCCGGCCCTGCAGGGCAGACGGGCAGGGCTGAGGCAGAGAAGCCTCTGGAATGCCGTCGGAGCACACGGAGCCTCATCAGCCCTCAGGCACTTGAGCGGAGGGCAGGGAGCAGGGCACGCGGCAGGGGCAGACCATGCCCCCCACAGGGTCGGCGAGGCCCATGCGCGGCTCCCCTGAGCGGCTCCCCCAAGCCTCAGCGCTGCCCAGGACTTGACAGCAGGGCGGGGGGGCGGGCTGGGGACTGCTGTCCGCTTCTGGGGGCGGAGCTGGGACAGCGGCTGGGGCAGCGCCGTGTCCAGCAGGCGCGTGAGTGCAAGTCAGGCCCCTTCCACCTGTGCCCCCCACGGCAGCACTTCGACACAGACACGCAGGACCTCGCTGGCATCGAGTGGGCCCCGAACGGCTGTGTGCTGGCGGTGTGGGACACCTGTCTGGAGGTGCGAAGGTGCTTTCCCGCGTTCGCCTGATGCTGCCCCCTCGTCCCACGGCTCACCACGCCGCCTCTCCACCTGTCACCTCGGTTCCAGCCGGCAGCCCGTCCCCCTGCCGCCGCAAGGGCGGCGTCTGCCTCACCCCGTTCCCTGTCTCCACCTGCCTGCCCCCCGCGCCCTCTGCACAGCCTCGTTTGCACCTGCTCCAGGTGACCGGGCCTTTCTCAGCAGTTGACATGTCTCGCCCGCAGTACAAGGTCCTGCTCTACTCCCTGGACGGCCGGCTCCTGTCCACGTATTGTGCCTACGAGTGGTCCCTGGGCGTCAAGGCCGTGGCCTGGAGCCCCAGCAGTCAGTTCCTGGCGGTCGGCAGCTACGACGGGAAGGTGGGACAGGGGGCCACGGGCAGCGCCACGGCATGGTGGGCGGGTGGCGGGTCTCACCACGGTCTTCTCTTCAGGTGCGCATCCTGAACCACGTGACTTGGAAGATGATCACGGAGTTTGGTCATCCTGCCACCATTAATGATCCCAAAGTAGTAAGTCGGGGTGCCGCGTCTGTGTGAGCGGCATGCGGTGGGGGAGGTGGAAACGGCTTCCCTCAGCGTTATCCGTCATGCTGCAGGAGCGTCCGTCACCGTGAACTAGAGTGACTGACGCTTCACGTGGCACACTCTGCTGCTGGCCTCTACTTTGCCTGTCCATGTTCCCAAGGATGGGAAGCGGTGCCCCAGGTTGGCCTGTCTTGGCGCTGGTCCTGCTGTCTGTCTGCACAGGGCCCCGTGGCCCTGTGGAGTGGGGGCCGGGGCCGGGGCCAGGAGGGCTGGTGTCCGCCCAGGCGGTGGGGTGGGCAGGCCTGGCCCAGGAGGAGCGCCTCTGGCAGAGGTCCTGGGGGGCAGTGTGTGTCTACGTTCGGCGGGCTCTGGGGGCACAGTGGGGGCACGGGAGCCCCGGCCTTGGGGAGTTTGCCCACAGACGGGAGACCCGAGTGAGGGGGGCATGGTGCTGAGGAGCGCAGCGGCAGGGCCTGCAGGGCCGGCCTGAGGTCAGCGGGAGGGAGCAGGGGCCGTGCGGGCGTCTGCGGAGTCTGCGTGTGGCGGGCGTGAGGGCCAGGGGTTGATGCCCACCTCAGGCCTCCAGCCCGTGACTGCTGGGCCACGCGCAGCCTGGGCCGCTTGTCCTTGGCCTGTCAGGCTTCTGGTCACAGATGCCCCTCGTTCCCCGGGCCTGTCACTTGTCAGCACTGAAGTGCTGGTGTTTGGTCACTGGCTGAGTGGCTGTGTGAGCAGCTGCCGCCCACGTCGCCCCCATCCTCACAGAGTGGTTTGGGTGAGAACCCCGTGTCCTCGTGAGCCCTCAGTGGCAGCACCTGTTTGGGTTGGATGTCACCAGTACCGAGGGCTGTTGCCGCCCCTGCCCCACCGCCCGTGTCTTCCAGGTGGTGTACCAGGAAGCCGAGAAGAGTCGGCGGCGGGCGCTAGACCGCCCTGGCCACCCTGCGCCCAGGGCCGCGGAGAGCAGATGTGAGCATCAGGGGCGGGGCTCGCTCCCTTGTCTCAGTTGTGAAAAATAGGCTCCTGTCCAGGTAGATTTCAGAAGTCCTTTGTTTTCTTAAAAACATTTTCCTTCCATGTGACACCTTGGCCTGTCTCCCCACGAGTCACAGACCCCCTGGGCGTGGGTCCTGCTGGCTGAGTACAACCTCTGAAGTCTAAACTTGGCATCCGGCGCTCCGAAGGCCATATTTTAAGAATCATAAAATTTCCCTGGATGAGCCAAGGTGGGGTCAGGAGGTGGCCTGGTGAAGGGCTCGGCCTGGGGCTAAGAGCTTGCCCTGGGTCCTGGCCATGCGGCCGGCCCCTTGTGCCTCGGGCTCACCTGCAAGGTGGCCATGAGACAGGCTGCACGTGAGGGGGATGTTGGGGCCACCGCCAGGCTGGTCACTGCCTGCTGCGGGCTCAGTGAATGCTCGCGGGTGGGAGCGTCAGGAAGCTGAGCACGCTCACCTACGCGCGTCTCGGCTTCGGCTTCGGCTCCCAACCCTGCGCTTCCGGCTGCGTGATGCGTTTTAAGACTGCCTTTTAAGGCCATGTTAGGGCAGAGCTTTCCCATGAGCCCCTGCTGCCCCACGCTGACACCCCCGCCAGCGCGGGACGTGTCACCGTGGGGAGCCCATGCTGACTTGTGTCGGTAACATTACTGCACGATGTGTTTCCACGTCCCTAAAACCCTGTGCTCGGCACACTTTCACTGCATCTGAAAACTCTGAGCATGGGATGCTGGGAGACGGAGGCAGGTCGTAAGCCACGGTGCGCGTAGGCGGCGACGCGCCCAGGCCTTGGTGCCTCTGGGGTGCGGCGGGTGGCTCTGGTGCGTGGGGTTGCGGCGTGACCACTCCCCACCCCAGCACCTCAGCCAGCTTCCCGTCAAAGCCTGGCTTCCATAGGACCTTGCCCGGCCACGTTCAAGGTCATCCTGTCTTTCCTCCCTCTGACCAAGTGAGTGGTCGGCACAGACAGGCTGACGGACAGGCTGACGCCCAGGCCACCCTGGGTCCCAGGCGTGCTGTGCTGAGCCGGGGACGGCAACGTCATGCCCTCCCTTCCACGTTGCAGACGAGGTCGCCTCGGTGCCGGTGCCCCTGCAGACCGTGAAGCCTGCCGCAGACAGGGCGAACCCGAGGATCGGCGTGGGCGCGCTGGCCTTCAGCCCGGACAGCTCGTTCCTGGCCACGAGGAGCGGTCAGTGCCACGCTCGGGCCTGTGCCATGCGGTGTCCACTCACAGTCCTTTGGTGCCAGGCACACCGACGTTGGGGAGAGTCAGCTGCCGGGCCCGCCCATGGCGTCCGCCCGTCAGCTGAACCCCGATGTTCCACTCCCAGAAGCCCCAGGGCGCGGGGCTTGGTCCGGCGCTCTGCCTGGCATGCCCTCTGCGCCTGCTCCTTTCTGTTGGCGAAGGCCAAGGGCCCAGGCGCCGCTACAGCCGTGGCCTCTTCACACAAAGGCTTTTCCGCTTCTGAAGGGTTGTTATAAAAAGACCAAAAGGGACTGTCACCCGGTACACTCGGGCCCCGAGGCCAGTGCGTGCCCGCGTGCCCGGGGCCTGGCTTCGTGTTGCGTCGTCAGGTGTCAGGGCCGGGGGGATGGCGCTGTCTGCACCTCTCTCCTCAGACAACGTCCCGAGCGCCGTCTGGATCTGGGATATCCAGAAGCTGAGGCTGTTCGTGGTGCTTGAGCAGCTGTCCCCCGTGCGTGCCTTCCAGTGGGACCCACAGCGGCCCCGGCTGGCCATCTGCACGGGAGGCAGCAAGGTGTACCTGTGGTCGCGAGCAGGCTGCGTGTCGGTGCAGGTGCCCGGGGAAGGTGAGCACAGCACCCCTCACACTGGGGACGGGAGGCAGCTCTGCACCCCCTCCCGACCACCTCAGCACACACCTGATTGGGCAGCAGCCCCGCGCTCTGTGGGCGGGAAGGCCCGCCACGCTGAGGTGGCTTCGGGCTCTCGCTGGGTCACTGTGACCTGTCTGCGCACCCATGGGTCTGGGCTGCACTCAGTGGGGGACCCTGGCCTCACCCACGCTAATCCTCTGGCTACCTGCCTCCCTCAGGGGACTTCCAGGTGCTCTCTCTGTGCTGGCATGTAAGTGGGGACTCACTGGCCCTCCTCAGCAAGGACCACTTCTGCCTGTGCTTCCTGGAGACGGAGGAGGGGCCGCGCCTGGCTTCGGGCCAGCTGGGAGACCACACGTAGGACCTGCGTGGAGGCGGGTCACCTTGCACGCACTGCGGAGAGTGGCTCCTCGGGGCATTTCTCCGACCACGGGGGCCCCGCTGGTCAGCTCCTGTTTTTCTATAGCAAGGCGTTTTTGTAAATATGTATATTATAAAACTAATTTTTGTTATTTAAAATAAATATTTACCAATTCATAAAATGGCTGGTATTGGTTTTCTTGAAAGGTTCAGATCACAGGAAGGTCCCCAAGGTTTAAATTCTGGTTCCATCTTAGGAAAATAACCGAGCCCCAAGCAGCCAAAGCCCCTTAGACACCCCTTTTCCTTATGAGCCCCCATTGGTCACTGAAGTTTTCGGGAGAAAGGCTGGGGTTCCACGTGGCCTGCTCTGGAGTACGGGGAGGGGAGCCGGTCAAGGTCGTCCCGAGTGGGCTCCGCAGGGAGTGTCAACCTGGCTGCCCACCCACCTGGGACAAGTCCTGCCAGTTCTAGATTCGGACAAGTCCTGCCAGTTCTAGATTCGGGTGCTCCTGGCAGGCCGATGGAGGCGGTACGGTTCGAAAGCCAGAGTCCCCGTCCCGCTTAAAGCTTCACAGCACTGCTGGCTGGTGTCCCGCAGAGCGGCCAGGCCAGGGACTCCCACGGGGCCCTCCACACTGCACCTGGCAGCAAGGAGACAGGCTTATAGCAAGTACAGGAAGCGGTTCAAGCTTTAAAATGCACTTGCTCAAGAGCTAACTTTCTCGGTGGTTGCATCTATTGTGATAACTTCCAAAAGGAACAACGCCCACTCGATTCTAAATGTCTTTACTACAAGACCAAAAGCAGAGGCTCAAGACCAGGCGAGGTCTGAGGCAGCCTTTCGACTTGGACAGGTGACCGCATTCAGCTCACGTCCATGCCGATCACAGGTACCCCAGGGATGGGGATGTGGGGAGAGGAACTGGCACGAGCCAGCACTGAAGCTCATCACCAAATGCTGAGTGAAAGCAGCAAGCCATGGCCGGTGCGGGCAACACGCTCCCCCGCACGCCGAGGCCCAGGCACGGTCAGGGCATGACCCTGATGACCCCTGCATCTGCGTGGGAGCTGCTTCGTGAGACTCTAACCTGGTTTCTTTTTTTCAAAGTGCATTCCTTAAAGCAAACGAAGCGTATGAATGTGACAATACAGATTTAGAACACCAAGCTGTCATAACTATGTGCGAAGAACTATTAAGAGAATTTCCTCAAATTAATGAATTGTCCAAATGTGATTTTCTGCGAACCTTTTTGGGCTTCAGAAAGATGCCATGAGTATTAACACAGGTTAATTTTGGTAACAGTGTGACTTCAGATCATTCACACCAAACCAGTTCATTCGACAGCTGACAAAGCAGGTCTGTCTCCTGCTCAGCTCACCAGTCTGCCGGCTTCTTTTGTATTTACCTTAAAAAAAATGGATTAAATTTCCAAATACAAAATGACACCAAGTGTAAACTGACCGCGACGACAGGCTCCGGGTGAGGGACCGCCCCGGGCGTACCGACCACACAGCTGGGGGCAGGCAGGACGCCCTGGTGGACGCACAGAGGTTTATTAACATGCTGGAGGCGGGGTGGGCAGCGTGGCGAAGCCAGATGGAGACGCTCCAGAAGCACGAGAACAGAAGGACAGCCAGCGCACTGACAGATTCATTTTGCTTTTGTCTGTAGCTTGTTACCAATGTCCCTATCCAGCTAAAGTGTGATTTGTGTGACTGTCCTAACTGCAGTCAGTCCCTAACGGTAACTGGCCCCGACCCTGGCCACAGAGCCTGCCCGAGCCCGGCTGTCCGTGCCCAGGCCCGCCTGGCCACCTCCACAGGCTCCCGAGGGCAGTGCCTAGAAGCCTATCTTGCCTCTGGTCATGGAATAGCCCAGCTTAGCCTCGTTGTTAATGAAGGACATCAACCCCACGTAGGTCTCGATGAGAAGGGGCTGCTCCAACACCAGCACGCCGCTGGCTTGTCCGGGCAAGGGGTGCTCCTTCTGGGCCTTTTTGACAGCCTGAATCAGCAGAGCTTTGAAGCTTTCCAACTTTAAAGAGAAAACATGGAGTCCGTCACTGAACCATATAAGGAAAAACCCCTCCCCACGCCACCTGGGTCTGTGGCCACCCTCCCGTCCCCACCTTGGCCTTTCCAGCCACACCCCCTGGGGGCGCTCAGCTCACATCCTCAGTGGGGCTCTGGAAGCACCAGACCTCACCTCCACGCTCACCTGGGCCAGACCACAGACAGTACTCAGCACCTCGCTCCCCACAGGTCTAAGTGGTTTTGCCGTAGCGAACCACCTAACCCTTCACACCAGCAACCAGGCCAGGAAGGCGGACAGCTGGCTGGCGGGGGACCTATCAGGGGCCCGGACTCTGCTCTCACCACTGGCCCCAAGGCCTCCTCTCCTGGTGAGCATACAGACCTGGGCCGGGCCAGTTGCCATGCCCCAAAGCCCTTCTGGGCCGTTCTCCGAGACGATGATCACGGCCACTAGGGCCACATTATAAAGCTATGCCACTGGCCACATGGAGCTATTTAAACGTAAAATTATTAAAAATTAAGAGTAACGCTTCAAGTGTCTGAGAGCCGCACGCGGCCACTGTGCTGGGCAGTGCAGGCCGGGATTGGCAGTGCTGAGTCACGGTCTTACTTGGCACAGAGAGGCTGTCTTCTCATCCGCACCGGCCATCGGGTGCTCCATGAACGTGGCGTACGGCACGTTGGTGGACCAGGGGTTCCATCTGTTTATGAAGGAAGGGCGGCTCTGCTTGTCCCACTGAATGCGAATCCCCAAACCTTCTCGTCTGCCAAGTCAGGAGAAACGAACCAGACGTCACCTAGCAGGCCACGGCCTCCATGGCAGCCTGGTCAGTTACAGCGTATGACATGAAAAGCTCTTAAGGGTTAAAGGCAAGAGCAACGACATTTCACAAACGGAAAGGACCTGTGGGCTTGAGGGCTAATGGTCGCCTCCAGTAACAGCTGCATTAAGCAACTGCGTTAAGCACTTTTAAACAAGAGAACGTGAACATACTGTCTTGCTTAAGCTAAACCTAACCTTTACATAGTCACTGACACGTAGCAGGTAACAGGGCTGCGCCACAGGGGAGCTCACCGAGTGCACAGCACTCATAACCTCTAGGACTTTCTCCTGAATGTCTTACTGGTGGTGAAGTTTTAGGCCATCTTCACTTTCTAAATTCCCTATCTTAATCGCGACATCTCAACGACACGGTTTAACTCAACCGACCAGTGTCTGGATTTCTCGTATTTCAGAGATCTCCCCTCGAGCATGAGGCTCAGCTCTCCAGCGCTGGCCATTAAACGCTTTCAAAGTTACCTAGCTTTCAGGGACGTCTCCAAGGCAGTGCACCGTTCTCGGTAAGAGGGACTCGACGTGACCAAGCTGCTCCTCTCCTGGCCAGAGATAAACCCTGTTCTGTCCTTATCTGAGGAACATCTGCGTTCAGTCTACTTCAGTGCGTCCCGAATTCACTTGAATACGAGCTGAATAGCCGCTCCTTTTAGCACCAGCCACCCAGAAGTCACTAGCTTCTACGCCGAGAAACTACAGACTTTGGAGCTGAGGCTTTTACCGGCTTTTACGTCACCATGCAATGGCAGACACGAGATGACCCAGGGGGCTGGTTTCAGAAGGGCTGGTTGCCAGGCCCCGGTGCTGGCTCTCTGCCCAAGAGACTTACTTGTTGAGCGACTTGGGGGGGAACTGGAACTCCCCGCAGGAGATGGTGTCCACCGCATTCAACGCCACCCGGACCACCTGCTGGCACTGGAGGCTGATGAAGTCGTACTTGCAGATGAGCAGCGACTGGTCGGTGATGAGCACCAGCCGCTCCTTCTCGTTGTTCCAGTGGTCAACCCTGTGGGCACCGACAGGCGTCACCTCCGCCCGCCAGGCGCACTCGGGCAGGCTACGGAGGGTGCGCTAGGGTCGCGCTCAGGGTCGGGGTCCCCCACCCAGGACGCGCCCCGCTCACTCGGTCAGCAGCCACACCCCCTGGACGTCGCCGTCCTCCACGGGCCGGACCACCACGCGGATCTCGTCCACCGCCTGCTCGATGGTGCCGGGCTGTGCGCGGGCAGAGGGCAGGGGTCACTCTCGGTTCCTCCAGGCCCCTCTCCGCCCCCACACCCCGGACCCTCCCCCGGCCCAGGCCTGGCCTCACCCGGAACACGAAGTACTCCTTGACTCGCGCGCGGCGCGTGGGGTCGTGGACGCTGAGCGGCCACAGCGTCTGCCGCAGCGGCGTGCCCGGCCGGCC